TTCCTGCAGTGAAAATGTGTCAGTAAGTGGTACTTTTTTTGGTTATTATTGTTATTGCTGTATTTCTTATTAATCCAGTAACTTTCCTGCTAAGAACTCCAGACTCTCTCTAAGCATCTTATAACAGTAAGAGCTAACGTTTATTGAGCACTTGCCTTGTGTCTGCCAAGCATTTAGATCTGGTGACTTAATCCACATGAAAACCCGAAGACGTGGATTCTGCTGCTCTATCCTCCTTTGCAGCTGAGGAAACTGAGGCCGAGCTGGCAAAGCCGGCCTTGATAGGATACGTCTTACTTCGCGGACTCTGTTCCTTGTCTCTCTCCGGCAAATGTCCTGTGGTTAACCAGTCCAAAAGTTGCCAAAAATGCTGGTAGCAAAAAAAAAAAAAAAAACCCTTCGCTGGAACTTCCAGATTCTTGACTGACGGTTTTTAAATCAGAGAATTACCTGCCTGTTTCAAAGATGAGCACATTAAAACCATCAAGGACAAAGGAGTACATACTCTTTGTAATAATCTCTGAGGTATTGAAATGCTTTTTCCCGGAAGTCACCTTGTAGTGTTTCACTGCTCTGAAATAAATATATTCCTCCTTTATACCTAAGCTAAATGACTAATATGGCTGTTTTCCAAGTAGATCTAATTATAAGAAAATACACACACACACACACACACACACACACACACACATCTATACACAATAACTGCTACACTGTGTGCTCATCGCCTTTAAAACTGGTCAAATTAGTTTTTACTTCTCAACAAATATATGTACATATTATATATTTACATTTATATATAATGTATATTTATATTAAAATATACACACATATTTTTATCACTAGCTATACTAAAAGAGCAAAGACAAAAAGAATCACTTGCAGCCGCTGTGTGAGATATTTTATTTTCCCCTGGGCTCTCTGTAGACATCTCCAGGAAGGCCAGGAGGCTGAGCGGCTGGGCTGCGGGGTCTCCCTTTCTGCAGTCTGGGCTGGTCCACATCCCGGTTTTGTGTGTCGGGGTTACTCGTGACATTTTCCTTGGAGGAGTTCTGCTGCCTTTAAGAAAAAAGAAAAGAAAAAAAGAAAAAGTGTGAAACCGTCTGTTCTAGAACTTCTTGTAACATCCAGTAGATGGCAGACTTTACTGCAGGAAAACAGTTTGGCAGCCTAGATAAACTGGTCTGAAAATATCAATTTACACATCACAACCAGTACAGTTTTTATCCTGTATCTAAGGCTCGTGGGAAAGCCAGAAACGAAATTATCTGTGGTAATTTCTCTGGGAACTAGGTTTTGATTATAATTTTAAGTAGTCCTGCAAGGACTTGAAATTACTTTTTGTGTGTGTCCATGTATGTCCTTTCTAAAGCTATTATCCTTATGCAAATTACTTTATTTTTCACTGAGGGTGCATACAGTGTACTAGGTTACGATGTAGTAATGTGTACAGGGCAGATTTCTTCTCAGTGTAGGTGCTCAGAACTGGAATAATCATAACCCTTACTTCATGACACTCCCTCACTGGTCTGTGCATATTCCGCTTTTATTTCTTAGTTGGCTCTTTAATTAGTTATTTTTAATAAGGCGTAAATCACAGCTCCATTATATGTTTGAAAAATATGATTTTCTTTTTTAATTTTTTAAATTTATTTTTTATTTGTGGTTTATTTATTTAGGCGAGGGAAGTAATTAGGTTTTTTAAAATTCATTTTTAATGGAGGCACTGGAGATTGAACCACACACTCTACCACTGAGCTATACTCTCCCCGCCATGAGTTTTTTCTTGGCAGGCAAATGTCTTTGCTTGTTTAGTACAGTCAGCTGAAGCATCAGTTAATGATGCCTTGTCACAGGCTGTGTTTCCAAGAAGGCCTGTTAGCATCTCACCTGTGGACACACCCATAAACCCAGGCAGCAAACGGTACCAACGGTGCCAATGACACCATCCACCTCGAAGACCCAGGAAAAGGATGTGCTTAATAAATCATCTTGTCCAGGACCAGCACTGAAAACATAATTCAGAGTGTACATGTCAACAAAGTGATGGAGGTGTGTGTGTGACTAAAGTATACATCTACCTATTCCGCTTTGAAAATTATTTTTATGACATTTATTCAGTAATCCTTTAAAAGCCACTAAGGGTTATGAGGGAAAGTGTCATACCCTTATTACCATCCCATTCCAGCTCCCCACTCCCAGCCTGCACCCCCCCTAGATGCAACTATTTAAAACTCTTCTAAATATTTCTTACAGTTTTAGATACTGGCATAATTGTTTGGAATTCTCCTGCAGTACACGTGGACTGAGCTTTCCCGCAGTTCTCGGTCACACACGGGCACCCACACACTCACTCGCTCAGCTCCACCTGAAAGCATCACTTTATTACTATTATTGCTATTATAGAGAATTTCCTTCAGCTCCATAGTGTGCTATTGTGAAGGAAAAACCGGGCTGGTCTAACAAGATAACTCACAAGTCTAGGAATGTGAAGGAGGGGCTGGGCTGGGCTAACAAGATAACTCACAAATCTAAGTATTGGAATACTGATTGAGTTCTGCTAGACTAACTTGTAAATCTAGGTTAATTAGTGTTGGTTTGCTGTTCAT